GTGAAGTGATGACTCAGTTCAATGCTGTTGACAATGACGTCACCACTGCCTGGATGTCTCCCGGAGGTCTGTTTTCAGATGACCCAGAGCCTCACCTTTGCAGCGATGGGGACTCAACACCACTGGAGATTACGTCACTGCCCCGCAGGGTTCAAGGAGAGATGTCCCTAGTGAGGGGGAGTTGCAGAACTACCTGAGGGGTGAAGTGATGACTCAGTTCAATGCTGTTGACAATGACGTCACCACTGCCTGGATGTCTCCCGGAGGTCTGTTTTCAGATGACCCAGAGCCTCACCTTTGCAGCGATGGGGACTCAACACCACTGGAGATTACGTCACTGCCCCGCAGGGTTCAAGGAGAGATGTCCCTAGTGAGGGGGAGTTGCAGAACTACCTGAGGGCAGCTCAGAGAAAACCCATGGGTCATGGGACCAAGACAAAAGAATCTGTCACCCAACCAGAGGTCAGGGCACTCGGGGACTTCAGAGCAGCAGAATTAGCCAGGCGGGCATCCAATTTGGGGGTATCCCAACATTTTTGGGGGGGGAATTTTAGACATTTAGGCTATGTCTACACTCGTGGCTTCTTGCATCAGAAGTATGCAAATGAGGCTAAGCATGGAATATCACTGAGCCTCATTTGCATACCTAATGAGCCACCATTTTTGCAGAAGAGGTTCTTGCCTACCAGAAGGAGCTGTCTATCTGTCCCCTTCTTGCGCAACAAAACCCCTCTTGCGCAATGCTGCTACGCCAATTACTTTCAGGAATAAATGGTGGCTCATTAAGTATGCAAATGAGGCTCGGTGATATTCCACGCATAGCCTCATTTGCATACTTCTGACGCAAGACGCTGCGAGTGTAGATATAGTCCTATTCAAGTCAACTGTCAACTAATTCAAAATGTATTGGTTTCTACAGTGGACACCTAGGGTATGTCTAGACTACAGGGTTTCGTCGACAGAAGTTTTGTCGACAGATACTGTCGACAAAGCTTCTGTCGGTCGACAAAGAGCGTCTAGACGACATCCAGTTCTGTCGACAAAGCAAGCCGCTTTGTCGACATAACGGTGTGGACGCAAAGGACAGTGTAGATGCAATAATGCCTTCTATCGACAGAACTCTGTCGACAAAAGGCGTTATTCCTCGTAGAATGAGGTTTACATACGTCGACAAAACTGCTGAGTTTTGTCGACGTTATATCGACATAACTCAAAGGCAGTGTGGACGCAGGTCTAGTTTTGTCGACAAAAGTCCACTTCTGTCGACAAAACCCTGTAGTCTAGACACACCCCTAATGGAGGGGAGGGGGAGAGAGATGGGAGAGGTATGGGGAGAGAGAGAGAGATAGAAAGAGAGAGAGAGAGAGAGAGAACAGGGGATTGAATGATACAATGAGTCATGTTCTTGGTTAAATTCCCCCTCCCCAAATGATCCTGAAACACAGCTTCCAATTTTCAACTCCTTTTATTTTGTACCCAACACACTTCCCCTGCGAACTGCACATGAAACAAAGCGGCCAGCAAGGGGCTCTTCTTGCTGGCCAGAGTCCAGTGTGAGCAGAGCGTGGGACACTACACTGGTGCACCATCACAAGGAGTCCTACACACACCCCAACGTGCACTCACTACACTAGAAAATCCAACCCCTGCTTTGGGTGGAGGGTGGAGGGACACGGGGCTGGGCCCCGGCTCCAATGTGGCTGCTCCAGGGATGGAGGGGTGTCCGGGAGACCTCTGCCCTCACATCCTTCAGCGGCTGGTCTCCAGCCTCAGTGCTGCCGTGGGATGCGGCTGCTCCAGGCGGGCACAGATAGAGCCTGAGCCGAGGATGCTGAAGATGGACAGAGGTGATGAAGAGGAAGGAGAAACCCTGGAGTTGGGCGCTCACCGCACCTGGGGGACACAGAGAGTAGAGGAGTTCAGCGTGTGGGACCTGGGGCCGGCTGTGGTGCTCGGGTTGGGAGTGGGGCCAGGAGTGGGGCCGGAACTGCAGCTTGAGGGCAGGGTCCCGTTCCAGCAGTTTAGGGCTTCTTCCAGGGCTGACACTGGAGCCGCAGGCCATGGGGCCAGGCAAACGCTGGAGGCAGCCGTGGAGACCTGGGCTATGTCTAGACTGCAGGCTTCTTTCGAAAGATGCTTTTTCAAAAGCATCTTTCGAAAGAGCATCTTTTGAAAGATCGCGTCTAGACTGCAGCCGGATCTTTCGAAAGAAAAATCCGCTTTTTCAAAAGAGAGCACCCAGCGAGTCTGGATGCTCTCTTTCGAAGACGGCCTCTTTACATTGAAGAACGCCTTCCTTCGAAAGAGGAACTTTCGAAAGAAGGCGTTCTTCCTCGTGAAACGAGGTTTACCGCCATCGAAAGAAAAGCCGCGTTCTTTCGAAATAATTTCGAAAGAACGCGGCTTGAGTCTGGACGCAGGGGAAGTTTTTTCGGGAAAAGGCTACTTTTCCCGAAAAAACCCCTGAGTCTGGACACGGCCCTGGGGGCTGGTGACCATGCGACAACATGGGCAAAACTCCCCAGGCTGTCAATTACACAGAGCCTCTGGGCCTGGAGGTGGGGGATTGACTTTCTCACCCATAATAGATTAGAACCGATAACAGACTGTTGAGTCGCATGCATTGATCACTGCCATATCATCCTTGATGGGAGCTCGTTAGTGAGTGATGGCAGCTTGTTGATTGTTAATACTTAATTAGGGGGCTGCACCTCTTGCTCCCTACACTAGCCAACCCCCTGCTTCCGGGGCTGGTTTGCAGCTGGAGGGAGAGTGTAGGAGCAGGCTGGGGGCAGGGTGTTGTGCCGGGGGGAGGGGGAAGAAGAAGGCTGGGAGTGCGGGGTCTCAGTGGAAGGGGTGAGTGAGAGGGCTGGGAGTGTGGGGGTTGCACCAGCGACAGGGAGAGGGTCTGAGGCTTTCAGCCCCCTTGTGAGGGGGGAGCGTGTGTGGCTTCCTGCCCACCTGCTTGGGGGGAGGCCTCGTTGCTCTGGGTCCCCCAGAGGGAGGAGGGGGGGAAGCCACATGGCTCCCACCCTACCTGAGTACCAGGGAGGGGTTTGGGAGTGAAGGCAGAAGGAGGGTCTGTGGGATGCAGAGTGATGTAATGACATCACTCTGATGTTCAGTGGGAAAAGGGCTTTAAATATATCTATCTATCTAGGGCGGGTTTAATTGCTGCATGTCCCAAGCACGCTTCTGTCGGGCACTGAGCTGGGTGTGGGAAAAGCAGAAAAACTTCCTTAATTAGAAAATATTCTAATTATTGATATGTCAGGTATTTTCTCAATTTGTATACCAGACACAAAGTCCAAATACCGGCCTGTCCAGTTCAATACTGGCCACCTGGCAATGCTTTACATATGCGCTATGTCTACCCTGGCATGATATTCCGGAAATTCTTTTAACAGAAAAGTTTTCCGTTAAAAGTATTTTCGGAAAAGCGCGTCTAGATTGGCAGGACACTTTTCCGGAAAAGTGCTTTTTGCAGAAAAGCGTCCGTGGCCAATCTAGACGCACTTTTCGGCAAAAAAGCCCTGATCGTCATTTTCGCGATCGGGGCTTTTTTGCGGAAAACACTACTGTGCTGTCTACACTGGCCCTTTTCCGGAACAGTTTTCCGGAAAAAGACTTTTGCCCGAAAGGGAGCAGCATAGTTTTTCCGGAAAAGCACTGATGATTTTACATTAGATCGTCAGTACTTTTCCAGAAATTCAAGCGGCCAGTGTAGACAGCTGGCAAATTTTTCCAGAAAAGCGGCTGATTTTCTGGAATAACTTGCCAGTGTAGACACAGCCATAGTGAGATAATTCATTCCTGATTACTCCTGTTAGGAATGGGGGCTGGAGCCACCTGATGAATGCATTTGGCCAGGTGCTGACTGGGATCCCACCTGGATGGCAGAGTCCACAGAATGGCTCATAAGCAATGAAGCCCTCCCCCACATCACTTCCCCAGGGCTGCGAGAGGGCGTTGAGCTGCTTGTTCCAGCCCTGTGCCTGCCCTATTCCCCTCTGGTTCCAGTCCTGTGTTTTGGAGGGTGGTGCACATCTGTGCATGCCTCAGCGCACACGACAAAATTTATTCTGCACCAAACAATTAGAGGGAACATTGTCCTGGACGTCTCTCTGGGAAACCTCTTCCCGGCTCTGGGCTTTGGTTGCTGACTGTGGCTCTAGCCTAGGGGTGGACAAATCCAGGCCGCATCTGATCTGCTACTGTATTTATCTGCACCTCTGCAGGTATGGAGGATCGCAGCTCCCATTGGCTGCAGAGCACCATTCCCGGCCAATGGGAGCTGCGATCACCCATGCCTGCAGAGGTGCAGGTAAATATAGCAGCAGGTTAACCCCTGGTCTAGCCCTTGGCTCTGGGAGGCAGATGACCAGCAGTTCCCAGGGCTGGCTGGCTATGGATGGTGGCTGATGCATGACTGAGCTCTGAGCACCAGTCACTGAAATGAGACCCGAAAGGTGACGGCAGCTCTCACCTTAAACAGCGTGACGCCAGCGCTGTACACCAGGCTGAGCAGGAACAGCGCGATGAAGGTTACAGGCGTCCAGAGAGGGTCCGATTCCCCCTCTCCTCCTTCAAGATAGACCCCTTGGTCCTCCACCAGGCAGTGAAGATCTGGGGATGAGAAAAACCTGCCTGTGTGAAAGGCCCCGATGTTACCCCATGCATGGACATTTGACCCAAGGAGCTGAGTGGGAATGGCAGGGAGCCCCGATCTCCCTTCTTGGCAGGATCTCCCTGTCCAAAGCCAGAGACAGACACTCCCCTGCCAGAGGAGGCCAGGCTGCACGTGGAGATCCCTCAATCTCAGCTGCAAGCCGTTCCACAGCCTCCAGGATGTCAGGGTTGGGAGCAGGTCCCTGGCAGCAGACACACCCGTTCTCCCCAGGGAGAACCTTTTTGGGGGGACCTCCGGAATTTGTCCACAGAGCTCTTCTGAGACCTTCCCCAAACTCGTATCATCCCAGACACAGTGTGGTTCAATGAGCAAGGATGGGACTCAAGAGTCCTGGGTCTATTCCCAGCTCTGTCACTGACAGGAGAGACACTTCGGCCACTCACCTCCCTTCCCTGGTCCTCAGTTTCCCACCACGCCCATTGTTACGACATTAAGCTCTTCTAGGCAGAGACTAGTTCTTACTCTATGGCTACGTCTACACTATGGCTGCGTCTAGACTGGCAAGTTTTCAAAACTGGAAAAACTTGCCAGCTGTCTACACTGGCTGCTTGAATTTGCGCAAGAACACTGATGATCTAATGGAAGATTGTCAGTGTTCTTGTGGAAATACTACACTGCTCCCGCTTGGGAAAAAGCCCTCATGCGCAAATGCTTTTGCGCAAGAGGGCCAGTGTAGACAGCTAAAACTGTTTTGTGCAAAAAAGCCCCGATGGCGAAAATGGTGATCGGAGCTTTCTTGCGCAAAACCGCGTCTAGATTGGCACGGACGCTTTTCCACAAAAAGTGCTTTTGCGCAAAAGCATCCGTGCCAATCTAGACGCTCTTTTCTGCAAATGCTTTTAACGGAAAAACTTTTCCGTTAAAAGCATTTGTGGAAAATCATACCGGTCTAGATGTAGCCTATGAGTTTTCTTGCCAAAAAATATGCTAACGAGGAACTCATTTGCATGAGTCCAGATCTCATTTGCATATTTCTGCGGATCCGTTTTTGCACAAAAACCGGAATTGTGTACGTTTTCGTTTTGCGCAACCCTCCCTTTTCCCACAAGATCCTTATGCCCCCCCCCAAAGCAGATATACTGATCTTGCGGGAAAAGGGTTTTTTGCACAAAAAGAAGACATCCACAGGGGTTTTTGTGCAAAAACATATTGGCAGATAATGTGCAAATGAGATCACAGCTCATGCAAATGAGTCCCTCATTAGCATATTTGTTGCCAAGAAAACTTTTAGTATAGACATAGACGATATGTGCACAGCTCCTACCACAATTGGGTCCTAAACTCAGCGGAAACTTCTGCACATGACTGTAAGGGTACGTCTAGACTACATGCCTCCGTCGACGGAGGCATGTAGATTAGCCAGATCGGCAGAGGGAAATGAAGCCGCGATTAAAATAATCGCGGCTTCATTTAAATTTAAATGGATGCCCAGCTCTGCCGATCAGCTGTTTGTCGGCAGATCGGGGCAGTTTGGACGCAACGTGCCGACAAAG